CTGCTGCCACCATTTTCCCCGGGGACCTCTTAAGACTTCATTGTGTAAATTTACTGCGGCATTCTTTGTCCTTTCGTACCAGCATATAAGACAAAGAAGCGGCCAAGAAGCGGTAACAAAAAAAAAAGAAAACGTCGCCAAAATTCAAATCGCGAACTGCTTAAAAATGAACAACAAATGAAATTCCCATAGGTGGCAGAAGTTTGCCACGTCTGCAGGCATTTAAATGGCAACGGTGGCGTATACGCAACGCCGAGTAAATCTCCTCAGCTGCGCCACCAAAAACTTTTCCAGCCTGCATCCTTCGGGTCGCTGCTCCTTTCACCTGTTCCTGTTTCTGTGTCTGCGAAACGGGCAACATTTAATGTCATGTTTGTAAGTTTCTAGACGATGCCAACATGTTACTTTTGGCCCGCCCCGGCGATTCCTTCGTCCATTCACTCCTTTGTCCCCGTTTCCTGGTTTTTCGCGTCTGCGTTTCCTGGCGGCGCCAAAAAGTCACTTTCTGGCGCTTTCACACACCCCAAAAATGTCTGCGACGTCTTGGGTTGAGATTATAATTCACTAGCTTTAAGTTTGATAAACTAAATTATTTGGGCAACTTTAAATTAATTTAGACCAATAAAAAACCAAAGCTTCAAGGCAACAAGTCATAACATATGTCATATAACAAAAACTACTAACGAGCAATTTCATTTATAATTACTGAAAAATATTAGTAGTTAAAAAAGTCTGCAGTTGCAAAAGTCTTTCGACTGAGTTTTCCGGAATATAATTGATAATCCTAGTAAAGTTTTTAGTTTTATAACAACAAAAGCGAAACATTCAGTACAAACATATAATACGACTTTATATTAACATAACAGTACTATAGATTATAATAAGCCAGCTTTGAATTTTAGAAAATAAATTATTATATTTAAAGCAGACGATAGGGAATATCTGTGTGATTTTAAGCCAAGGCGAAACCATTGAGAATGAACCTACAGATTTACTAACTGAGCGAAAATTTTAGCAATTAAAAGAACCTGCAGCTACAAAGGGGTTTCAACGTGGTATTTGAGTAAAATAATTATAATCCTAACAAAAGCTTTTATCTGCCAAAACAATAAAAACGAAGCAATCACTACAGATGTCTAATCCGACTTTAACTTAACATGGCAGAACTATAGACAAGCGACTTATCAAAGTCAACATGACAAAAGTTTTCAATATGCTGCAATGGCACTATCAACAATTCATAAACATGCTCGTATGCAAAACACCCACAATCACAGACGGCCGGGAAGATTATGTCAGAGACAATCGGATTAATATCAGACAAGAACAGCTCTAAGCTCTGAACACTGAGCACTGAGTTCTGAGCAGAGCAAACATCAATGAGACGACAAATTGTAATGAAAACGGGGGCCTCAGATGGGGCCATTTTGTGGGCGGTGGGAAAAAGGATTGAAATTGCTTTGTTGCCTCAGCTAATAATGTTGATCTGATTAGCCAAGGACCGCGGGGCAATTGCTGAGTAGACTTTACAATTAAATCAGGAAAACGGCTAAATGACTGCCAGACAAATAAGTCGACTTACTTGACTTTGGCTTCCTCATTAACCCCCCCCCGGAAACCCCACACCCCGAATATGTGTCAAAAGTTTGCATTTGAAGTAATTAAATTTAAATTGAATTCACCCAGAAAGTCTGGAAAAAAAATTAATAAAAGTGGGAAAAGCAGAAGGCAGGAAACTTTTTTAATCCTTTGCTCATTTGTTTTCCTTTAGGTCCTCTTTCTTTTTTTTTTTTGGGTGCGTGAAGTGGGAATTGCCTTTGGGTTTGGGGTCTCTCTGCATTTCCGTGTTATTAAAACTTTGAATGAAAAACTTTACTGCGTAATGGATTTGAATGAAACGAAATACGCAGCAGAGACTGCACTTCAATAAAACTATTTTATTTAATTATTAAATGGGTTCAAAAAAATGCTGTAATGAGGGAATGTGTTTTTAAACTATATACGAGGATTTTTCATAGAATTAAAAAAATTATGAAACGAAAATATGGAATTTTTAATGAATGTTAGTTCCTTTTGAATAAATTAGTTAGTTTGTGCAGCGTGCAGTGAGCAAACGTTTTTTTTATGCTTACACAAAAGTTTAAATTAAACAAACAAAAATTAGTTAGTTGATTGGCTACACAGTTGTCTAGGCTTCACATGCACCCGATAACTTTAACACTTGGTGAAATTGGTCCGGGCTCAGTTATTGATGGTCGTTAAATGCAAGCGCTCCGAAATGAAGCCATAGAATGGTGGTGTGGCACTTGCGGAATACGGCAATGGGCTATGCGAGTACGAGTGTCGCACACAACTCTTTCCAACTGGATCTGCCAGCTCTAATCGCTCCCGGTACAGTGAAACCCCCCTCCCACTCCCTCGGCAACTGTATTCCGCTGTGTTCCAGCCCACTCGCATGTTGCATCCGCTGGCGCATTGACTTTCATGTCGTTCATGTCGCGCCTCTCGCCAAATGAGTCACAATTAAAACCGATCCGAGTCAGAATTAGATTGGGATATTCGACGCTGGAAATGCCCATTACAATTGAGTTTTAAGATAAAATTGTACAATACACTTAATTATCAATGAATAAATAAGTAAACTATTATTTACTTATTAGAGAGAAGATTTGAGCGACAATTATGACGCGACTTTATGCCAATATTTAAGTTATTGCCTTCGCTTTATTTAACGCAGTCCGGAAATTCTCACAATTGTATTGACTTTCAACTGACTTCCTCTTGAAAAAATGAGATTTCCTAGACACTCGCGAATCCATAAGAATGTATTCTTAAAATAAATCAATTTTATCCCAGTCCAACATCCCCGCTGTTGCAAATCGCCAAGAGGTAGTAAAAGACTTACCTTACTGGAAAGCGAAAGCGAAATTGTTATTGCAACATGCAACCGCAACTGCCAAAGCAACAACAGCAATGGTAACATTAACCACTATGTGGCTGCGTCGTCTCGCAATAATTGTGAGCAAATATTACACGAAAGCGCGGACTTCACTGGATAGGGGGAGGGCCAAGAGGGGGTGGCGGGTCGAGATTGGCGGGGCAAACGGCATATTATAGTGGCAGGCGATGACGATAATCACAACAACAATGCAACATCATAATTATCGACCCGCTCCACTCGATTTTCCCTCCCCCAAACCGCTGCGGCAATTATGCCAAAAGCGCGTTTATTATGTGAAAAGAAACCAAAGATAAAATATTGAATTCGACTCAGAAAAAAAAAACTAAAGCGGGGCTTAAATCATTTGAGGAAAAGCCGTCAAGGAAATTGAGTAGCAAAAAAGTGTGTGTGTGTGTTCGAGTAAAAGAAACCAAACAAAAAACGAAAATAAAAATGTAATAGTTTATAACGAAAGTTGTTGGTGCTCAGAGTTGCTTGTCGGCGGTGCATTTTACTTTATTTAGAGCACGTTTTTGCGGCATGTTACGAAATCGATCCGCAGTTGCATTCAAACTTCAGCAACATCAACGGCGGTGGCGGCAACAATTAAAAGACTCACAGAGCCAGCACAATTGGCACATTTTATTGATAATTAAATACTGCAAATTTGAAGAAATTAGTCAACTGAGCAATTCATCATGCAATAAAATTGGCAGTAAAATAGGTAATTGTTTCCGTTGACTCAGGGGTTTTATATATATGGGCCAGCTAAAAAGATTTAAGTGATAAGACAATTCGATAACATCGTACTAAAACAAGATTTATTTGTCTGAGATTTTTTTTATTTGAGTTTCTTTAAACTTAAGTGCTTTAATAACTTTTTCTGTAACAGCAATGTAGTATTTTCTTCAGAAACTTAACTAAAATTGATTTAATAAAATAAAATTTAATAAAATAAAATCTTACTCAATTATTTATTCGGAGGACTTAGAGCAATATCTCTTGAAGTAAGTAAAAGTAAATTGTTTTAAAGTAAGCAGGCTAAGCTATTTAAGTCGAATAACTTTTAAAACAATCCAAATTTTTCTAAGTCTAAAATATAGAAGTAATTTTCTAAGCTTTAATTGTATGATTTAAGTAATTTTTTCTCTTTTTGAGCTGTTCTTTTAAAAAGTATTCCTTGTCATCCAAATACAGAACTCACTTCCATAGCTGTTCTTTAACGTCATTTAACACTTCGCCAGAGTTCAGCCATTTTTCATATATGTAGCATTGTAATGGCAGAATGTCACTTTAACAGAGCCACAGTGTCATTGAATTGATTTACCAACGCCCATTGCTAATTGACAGCGGCATTCATTAGCCTCTTCCTCTTCCTGCTGCCAAACACCCGATCGACAATTGACTGAGGGGAAAGGGGTTTATTTGGGCTATTTGGTGGGCAAGGGGTTATCTGGGGCGGGGCTTTTGGCGACAGGATGATGATGGCGGGTGCAAACATGCTGAGCACACAGTTGCAGTTGCATGTGCCCCAGTTTCCGTGACCGCTGCTGCCACTGCTGCTGCCTGCCATGAATTTCCCGTTTGCTGCTGCCGATTTCCTATTTTTTCGCTTTTCCACACCACTATGACATAATGACGCGTCGCTCGGGTTTTTGATTGATCGATCGAGACGAGACAAGACGGAAACGGGAATGGGAATAAAAACTGGATACAGGACGAACAGGCTGAACCACCAGCTAGGTGTCAAAATTGTTACAAATCAATAAAAATGCAAAGTATAAATATAACTCACATGCCTGATTGCTTTCATTAAAGGCCTCTTGGCGATTTGTGGTTGAAATTTTAAACTCAATTTTTAAAGTAACACGTTATCAACGCTTAATTTAAAAAAGTTGATACATTAGAGATTGGGTTGGTTTTTGACATATTTGTCGATACAAAACATTCTTAGTAAATTTAAATTAATGCCTCACATATTTTTTCCTTAACCAGTAAGGTTGACTTAATTGCCTTTATTCCCTTTCCCACTTGAAGTAATAACCCAAACTCTTCCAAATGAATTTAAAATTTTTTTTTTATATATCATACTCATCGCAGCATTGAAACCGATATAAAAACGAAATAAAATACCGAAAGTCTTTGACAAGAATTTGTTTAACAACTAATAATTTGTGGCCTCCAATGTGGTGGTTCGTTTCCAACGTGGATTCGACGATCCTCCCCTACTTAAGTCGCAAGCATTACAACAGTTACGTGTCCGTGTTTAGTGTGATTGTGCAGTGTCCTGTTTATGGTCCCTCATCCCCGATTCGAGGATCAGAAGTCTGCGGTCGCCACTTCGATGGATCGATGGCTTGTCTCGAAATTTTCGATTTGTAACCGCTTGATGGGATCCAAATCAGCGTCTACGTCTGCGGGCACATCTACTAGATCCTCGGGATCTTCTGCATCAGAATCAGCCTCGCATTCAGATTCTAAACCATTGTCCTCGTTATCCTCGGGCTTCGACTTCTCTTGCCGATTGTTGTTTTTGAGCCGCTTTTTCTGTTTGTCCAACCCGATGGCGCGAAACTTGACCCACATGACCCTGGTCGCGTAAAGGGCCACCGCGGCGGCGGCCAGCCACGGGTTGTTCATCATCATTCTGGCGCCCGCAGTGGTCGTGTCCATCGGCGCAGCGGTGGTGGTATCGGGCATTGGGGCTGCCCCATCCTCACCGGCTCCTGGCGCCTCCTCACCTCCGGCTGCTGGTGACTCTTCTTCACTCATCTTGGACTGGAAAACATTAAAAAAAATATTTTATTATTTTCGGTGGCTAAAAACCGAAATATCACTGTCTAATTTTATCTACACTCTTCAAAATTTTGTTGTAAAAAAATTTTGAAATTTAAAAAAAAAGTACTGTATATTTTTCACTTCTTTTTTTTTTACTTGCCTGTTGTAGTTGAAAAAACGGCTAGTTGAAAACAAATTTCTCTTATTGTAGTTGTTAACGGTTGGGGTGATGGCGTTGGAATGAGGTGTACTGCCGACCAGATGTTTCAGGCCTTGGCATTTCAAAAAATCGGCCTGCTGAGGTTGAATTTTAAATTGTCAAGGCAGCAAGTACAATGGGATGAATTCCTTTGTAGTAGAATATAAATCAAAATAATTATAAGTTGTCAAATCAAAGAAAAGATATCTAGCTCCCCAATAAGGAATATACAAAAAGTAACCTATTTGCCCCACTGTTCTTTCGAATAGCCTGCTAAGGTAAGCCTGGAATATGGTTTCAAATTGTTTTAAGCCATTTGGAGCTGCAAAAGTAATGATATCTGTAGAGTGTATACCAAATGAACTGGCACTCCGTCCTTTTCCATGTCTCGGTTGGTTCCTCGGTTGTGTGATTCATATTTCATAAGTTGATGAATTTTGTAACAAGTTGTCACATTTGCCAGCTGAGAGAGCTGCATTACTCCAACTTCCCCTCAGGTTATCATTTCGGTCTCAGCCAAGCGACAAATGACACAACGCAAACAAATGCAATTCGCATTTGCATTTCAACGTGTACGTAGGAATGAGCTTGTTTGACAGTTTGAGTGAGTCTGCACATGTGTGTGCATCCGTACGGGGTGGTGTTAATTTCGTACGCAAACATTTCATTTTCGTTGCCAGTTTTTACTTTAACCACACAACGACTTCCATGCAACCTTCGCTGCTAATCATTTTTTTTTATCTTTTATTATACACTTTTTGTATCTTTAATATACACTGTAACTCAGAAGGTTGGAGTATGATTTCCATTTTAAAACTTAAGAAATATACAACTGCATATTTTATAATATAATCTGGTAAGTAAATTAAAATTAGAACACAATTTCTAGTGTTATTTTTAAATTCATAGGTTAATTGAAGCCCAATGCTTGCTTCTTGAACACCTGAACATGATGTCTATTATTTCCACTCCAGAAGGTATCCAATCTCTCATCTCTCCTTGAGTTTCGACGAATCTCTCCTCTCCAGCCTTCAATATGTCACGACTATCAATTTCGGCTCCATTCCGATTTCGATTGGATTTGGATTGTTATGTGCGGATAAGTCATAAACATTCAATGTGCAACGTGGCGTATGAGCAACACACGAAATCCATCTCGACCTGCCAAAGATGTAGATTTTGATCGATGCTCATTGCGTAGCTGAAATCGAGAAACCATCGAGAAAGCGTTTCAATTTCAGTTGCTACAGCAATGTGACTAGGTAATAGTTCATCAGAACTTTGTTACTTAAAAGAATAAAGCATCTTTATTTAATTTTACCGTTGACATATATTTAATCATTGCAAAATCAAATATTTAAAGCCCATAGTGGCGGACTATAATCTTTTTTATTCCGGCAGTTGGCGATTAAAATCATACGGCGAGAACAATGAGTGATATTTCACGAGGCCTGCATAATTTACCGCTCCGGAAGTCGCCGCGGATGTCGACGGTTTAAATGCGGCGTCTGTTTTTCCACCCACTGCCGCCTCCTACACAATTTTCCTACCCATAAGTAGGCTACACCAGGCGACTTGCACTTTGTTTTATTTATCCTCCTTTTTTTTTGTTACACTGCCTGCATTGTTAGCCTGCTGCCTTTGCTTTGCTCTGCTATTTTTTTTTTTTTTTTGGCAGCAATTTTATTGTTGCACAAAGTTTCCAATTGCACAATGAAAAATGGGGAGGACCACCCCCAAAACTTTCTGCCGACGCCCCCAAAGTTTTCTGGGCCTCTGCAAATGCATTAAAACAATGCCAAAATTCGGAGGCCCAAAAAAAAGGAGAAAGAATATGAATATGGTGGCAGTAGATAATAGGGGGAAATGGCTTACATCCCAGCCCGGCAAATATTAACTTTTGTCATCTGGTACCTTTGCCAAGTCCATAAAGTAACATTGACATCTTGATTTATGTATCATCATGTCGACAATCCGCATAGACAACTTTCTGGTAATTTTCTCTATGAACTTTACCTCCTTAATGGGAGTTTGTTCATATATTTTATTGGCCTCAATGGCTCGTATTTCCTCCCGAACACACAGCACTTTTCGCACGCAGTTTTCCGGCTCCATTTTCCCCGTTCCCTCTCCCCTCTCCCCTTTCCACTAAAAATTCCCAGTTCCCTTTGTCATTGTGAATACTTTGGGTATTTCGCCTTGAAAGCGCCATAAATCTTTTTATGATTTTAGCTTCTCCTTCGGCAATGACTTGATTCGCCTTTTTCACAGTGATTGTTATTGCGAATGCGACTCCGAATCCGACGATTGTGACGCATACAAATTTCGATGTGTTTGTCACTAATACTAGCAGATCCTGTGACCCAAACCACCATGCAATTTTACTAACAGATATACCCTATATAGTTGGATTCAGTCAAGATAAGTGCAATATGAAGTTCTTTAAAAACTGTTATATAAATTAAATTGTGTCTAACAAATTTATTTAAATATGAATTTTATATTTTTCTTTGCAAACTGCTTTTACTTAAATAGTTTTTTTTTTCGTAAAAAAATAATTGTTTTGGCTGAGCTGCTATTTAATAGAGTATTTTCTAAAGTATTCAATATATCTTGATCTTCGTTGATCTACACTTTTATTCCAAAATATTAAGCAATATTTGTTTAAGGAATGTGTTCAGTATTAAATGGTAAAGCAAATACTTAATATTTACACTGATTATAAAATACCAGTCCAACCAGAAATATTTTTTATCAAAGGAATTAAATATAATTTTAGTTTTTTTTTGTAGCACTTAAATTTGTTAAAATATCAACAAAAAAACCAAATTTACTACACCCAATAGTAAAATTTAAGTTTAGTTTTAATAAGTATGTCTTAAACATAAACTGCAGACGGTATTAAAGTATAAGTATTAATTCAAGGCCTAAGGCCATTTTTTTAAACTCGTGGTAATAATTTAATACTACTTTTATTGAGTTTTAAATTTATGTCTGAAATCTAAGATAATTTTTTTTTGGGTGTACGATTACTAAAACTATTAAATAAGCAATCACAATATTGCCCTTTCCGAGAAGTGCCAGTAGGTAAGATTTTAGCATAGGGTAACCTTTACTTCGATCCATTGTAGTATGCCCCATTTAAGCCATTTTCAACAAACATTTCGCGGCAGCACGCAACGCCATTTTGGCGACGAACGCCATGAAAACGGAAAATGGCCCAAACACGCGACATCCCCAACTGACGGGGAAAAAATGGTTCTAGGACGAGAGCTCCTTTGGGCCAGCCCACAATGGCGCCAATGGCAAAAACAGAAACAACGGCAACAACCGGCTACAAACGTGGCCATAAGAAGAGCGCCACAGTTGGTTTGGGTTCGGCATAAGCCAGGCGCCAGCAAAGTTGTAAAATCGGCAAATGGCATATAAAAATCGCTGGAATTGTAGTCGTCACAGTTCACAGTCAGAGTCGGATTTGGATTTGGATTCGGATCTGGCTTTTGGACTGAAAGCGCCAGCCAGACTAGTTCCACTTCCTCAAAATGCAGAAGAGTTGGGCGAGGTGAAAGGTTATATAGCGTGGCAAACAAATTCGCTTGATTAATAAATCGATTTGGGGTCAGCGATGCGTTGTTGAGAGGATTATAAAATCAAAAATGTGAGAGCTGCAAAAATGAGTGAATGGTTAAACTCGCTCGCTATTATAAAACTTTTACTGGCAGTTAAGAGTTAATATCCTGAAATTTATATTATGTCCCACAATTAAGAACAGCAAGCTTTTATTTCTGAGATTATTAAAAATTAAGAGAGCATATCATGAACTCTTTTAAATTACCCTCAACCAATGATGTATGGAGTAAAAAGTCTTTACCCAACTGATCCAATCAATCTTAATTAGGCACGCGGCAAACTCTTGACATGGCTTTAATATTCACCATTAGAACTCTTTAAAATTAGATCCTAAGGGCCCTGTAAAAAATCGCCGAGTAATTAAGGTCAACGTGTGACAAAATGCTTGTAGCCTTGCTCATTATTTCCTCTTTTACTTTTTTTGCGGGCATGAAAACTTTTATTAATTGTATGACATAAGCCCGATGGGTTGGGAAAGGGAGGAAAAAGCGTGAAAAGCTGGAAAAACTGGCACAAATCATTACACACGAGTGGCAGGACAACGTTGACAGCGGCCAATTCACACACTCTCCCACACACCCGCACAACAATGCAAATTAGCGTAGCCGTTTTATGCAATGCCATCGAGTCATTAACACATTGACGTCCTTCGTCCTTGGTCCTGGATCCCCGAATCCTGAGTCCTGAATCCTGGTCATGGGTCACAGTTCGAGAGTTCGAGTGTGCGTGTGGACAAGCATTAGTGTCATCAGCATTCGTGGCCCGTCACATCAACACCATTTTGCAAGGACGAGGGACCGGCGGTGAAAGGACCTCATTTCGGTCTCATCCTCGTGCCTTTACATTAATTGAAATTACCCGGCTGACACGGAAAAAAGTCAAACGATTAATGGGTTTTAGGGACTTAAAGCGTCGCGAGTACTTTCAATCTCAATTCGCTTCCATGCACGAGGCTGCCTAATGAATATTGATTACTACTTGGATCCTTTAGGATTAAAAACGTAGCTTTAAATGCGATTCATAAATAGAAAAATCAGTAAATATTATTACCATAATTACTTCAACCAACTGAATTATTAACACCCAAATAAAATGTTATGTTATGATTTTTTTAACCTTGTTTAGATCTAAATTATAGAATATTTTGATTTCCCTTCTTCAAGACAAAAACTAAATTCTGTATCATGTACGAGGGGACCTAACTAATATGGTTAGCTTGGAATTCATAATCTAAAAATCGTTAAATAATATAACACAAAAACTATAAGCGATTCAACACTAAATGGTTTGAACTCTATCCAATTTACACAAACTTGATAGCTAGATAACTTCAGTTAAAAGTGCATTTTAAATGACCATCAAGCCGAGGTCCATTAATCGAGTCCTTGTACCGCCGAAATTCATCTTGAGAGTTGGAACCGCATTCCTGATG